ATTGATTGTTGTTTCTATGTGATTTCTAAGCTTCTTGTATAGTTTCTGTATCGGACAGTATGAAATTTTTGCAAAAAGCAAAGGTTGTTAAATGCCGCATTCGTCTGCTAAAGACTGAAAGAGAGCGGCCGGACGGACGGCCCGGTGGCGCGGCGGAGGGAAGTGTCGACGACGGCGACGACGACGACGACGACGACAGCACAGCAGAGACGGCGACAGCCGGTACTCCTGCTGCCGTGCAAGTGGCGTCGATTCGTCGACGGCCTTCCGTTTGCCGTAGCCGGACTCCCGTAATGCGCCTTACGAGGCACCACGTGCGTAAAGTCCCGTGGAAGGAGAAGTAGGAGGCCTTCGTTTGCCGTAGCCGGACTCCCGTAATGCGCATTACGATGCATGTGCGTAAGTCCCGTAGAATCGTTAAATGCCTAAGTTCGTCGAATGCCTTCGTTTGCCGTAGCCGGACGTGCGTCGTGCCTGAACAGTGGTCATGGGACCACTAGCCCGAACTAGTGCCTAAGTTCGGTGGCCTTCGTTTACCGTAGCCGGACTCCCGTAATGCGCCTTAGAAGGTAAGTGCGTAAAGTGCGTAATTTTGTCGAAGGCCTTCGTTTACCGTAGCCGGACTCCCGTAATGCGCCTTAAGAGGCATGTGCGTAAGTCCCGTAGAAGGCCTTCGTTTGCCGTAGCCGGACTCCCGTAATGCGCATTACGAGGCATGTGCGTAAGTCCCGTAGAATCGTTAAATGCCTAAGTTCGTCGAATGCCTTCGTTTGCCGTAGCCGGACGTGCGTCGTGCCTGAACAGTGGTCATGGGACCACTAGCCCGAACTAGTGCCGAAGTGCGTCGGTGGCCTTCGTTTACCGTAGCCGGACCCCGTAATGCGCCTTAGAAGGTAAGTGCGTAGTTCCTCGAAGGGAGGCCTTCGTTTGCCGTAGCCGGACGCGCGTCGCCCGCCTCGGCAGCGATCGGCGAAATTACTTTTCGGACGAAGTTACGATTTTCGGTTTTTTTGGGAAAAATTCAAAAAATAAAATTCGAATATCAAACTGAACCTATTGATTGTTGTTTCTATGTGATTTCTAAGCTTCTTGTATAGTTTCTGTATCGGACAGTATGAAATTTTGCAAAAAAGCAAAGGTTGTTACACGAACCGCATTCGTCTGCTAAAGACTGAAAGAGAGAGGCGGGACGGACGGCCCGGTGGCGCGGCGGAGAGGAAGTGTCGGGCGACGACGACGACGACGACGACAGCACAGCAAGAGACGGCGACAGCCGGTACTCCTGCTGCCGTGCGGTAAGTGGCGTCGATTCGTCGACGGCCTTCCGTTTGCCGTAGCCGGACTCCCGCACTGCGCCTTACGAGGCACCACGTGCGTAAAGTCCCGTGGAAGGAGAAGTAGGAGGCCTTCGTTTGCCGTAGCCGGACTCCCGTAATGCGCATTACGATGCATGTGCGTAAGTCCCGTAGAATCGTTAAATGCCTAAGTTCGTCGAATGCCTTCGTTTGCCGTAGCCGGACGTGCGTCGTGCCTGAACAGTGGTCATGGGACCACTAGCCCGAAAGTAGTGCCTAAGTTCGGTGGCCTTCGTTTACCGTAGCCGGACTCCCGTAATGCGCCTTAGAAGGTAAGTGCGTAAAGTGCGTAATTTTGTCGAAGGCCTTCGTTTACCGTAGCCGGACTCCCGTAATGCGCCTTAAGAGGCATGTGCGTAAGTCCCGTAGAAGGCCTTCGTTTGCCGTAGCCGGACTCCCGTAATGCGCATTACGAGGCATGTGCGTAAGTCCCGTAGAATCGTTAAATGCCTAAGTTCGTCGAATGCCTTCGTTTGCCGTAGCCGGACGTGCGTCGTGCCTGAACAGTGGTCATGGGACCACTAGCCCGAACTAGTGCCTAAGTTCGGTGGCCTTCGTTTACCGTAGCCGGACTCCCGTAATGCGCCTTAGAAGGTAAGTGCGTAGTTCCTTAGAAGGAGGCCTTCGTTTGCCGTAGCCGGACGCGCGTCGCCCGCCTCGGCAGCGATCGGCGAAATTACTTTTCGGACGAAGTTACGATTTTCGGTTTTTTTGGGAAAAATTCAAAAAATAAAATTCGAATATCAAACTGAACCTATTGATTGTTGTTTCTATGTGATTTCTAAGCTTCTTGTATAGTTTCTGTATCGGACAGTATGAAATTTTGCAAAAAAGCAAAGGTTGTTACACGAACCGCATTCGTCTGCTAAAGACTGAAAGAGAGAGCGGCCGGACGGACGGCCCGGTGGCGCGGCGGAGAGGAAGTGTCGGGCGACGACGACGACGACGACGACAGCACAGCAAGAGACGGCGACAGCCGGTACTCCTGCTGCCGTGCGGTAAGTGGCGTCGATTCGTCGACGGCCTTCCGTTTGCCGTAGCCGGACTCCCGCACTGCGCCTTACGAGGCACCACGTGCGTAAAGTCCCGTGGAAGGAGAAGTAGGAGGCCTTCGTTTGCCGTAGCCGGACTCCCGTAATGCGCATTACGATGCATGTGCGTAAGTCCCGTAGAATCGTTAAATGCCTAAGTTCGTCGAATGCCTTCGTTTGCCGTAGCCGGACGTGCGTCGTGCCTGAACAGTGGTCATGGGACCACTAGCCCGAAGTAGTGCCTAAGTTCGGTGGCCTTCGTTTACCGTAGCCGGACTCCCGTAATGCGCCTTAGAAGGTAAGTGCGTAAAGTGCGTAATTTTGTCGAAGGCCTTCGTTTACCGTAGCCGGACTCCCGTAATGCGCCTTAAGAGGCATGTGCGTAAGTCCCGTAGAAGGCCTCGAAAACATCAAGTAGTGTTAACACTGTCCGTGATTTTTAATGAGTTATATGTACGCTTTGTTTTAATATTAGGCTTCAAGCTGTGTTTATAACATAGAAAACTGCACAGCACGGGCATACGTTTGCCGATGTCAGGATTTTCTTATTTGTAAACCTTTTTTTTGTATTTATTGTTTTGTTTTTTTTTAAATTACGAAACTTTTCTAATGTTAAATATTTTCTAATGTTTAATACTTTCTAAAAGTACAAATTGGATCCCGTTAAATCTGGAGGATCTTCAACCAGATTATAAACACGCAACGTGTAAGTAACTACGATTGTAAATATCTCTGAGGTTTATATCTTCTTCGACAAATGAAGCGAAGTTCTTCACATCGGTCTTTACCTGGAATCCAACGTTAAATGACAGACGACATTTTCTTCCACACGCCCCACTGAACCGAATCTCAGTAATATTTTCCGCACAGCATGGGAAGTCTCAACACTTATCAGAATATTTTGGTAAAAAACAAAATCAAGATTTTCTTCGATATTTCTGTTCAAGCAAGGATTAAAAAAATCCCGTCATGAGAAGGGGGAGAACATCCGTATAACGCAGTTATCAATGACGTGGATAATTTCAAGCTTGACATTTTTAACCTACAGACAAATGCTGTAGCAATTTAGTAATAGATTTAACACTTTATTTATATAATGAACAATGGTAAAAATCAATAGTTTGCTAGTCTGATAAAAATCACTCTTTTACTATCTTGACCAACTTCGTGCGTAGAGGAAAATGTAATATATGCTAATCAACAAAAAGTATTAAAAAATATATCGTATTTTTTACAATCCACCAGTTACCTAATAAAGATGCTAATAGTAAATTCCCTAATTCTGTAAATTCATGATGCACTTTTTCTTTATTTATCCTGAACTCTCAAGAGGTAGGCGATCATGGATATCCATAACCTGCCATCCTTTGTAGTTTTCAATAATTTTTTTTTTTTTGTTATTTCTCTTCAAATCTGTTCCGGCCTTTATTTAAACAAGATCACTAAGTATGATATGCGTTGATTTCCTCTTTCCCTTTTGTATTCAATCTGTCTCCTGAGTAACAGATTTCCCAAGCCTTCTTTCCTCATTATATGTCCTCGAAATGTCAGCTATTTCTTCCTGATGTTAGATATAAGTTTCCTTTTGGCTTGCATTTTCCCTAAAGTTCGTCGATGCTAAGATATTTGGTCCATTGTTCGTCAGCATCCTTCTGTAGAACGATATTATGTGGCCTATTTTGGATATATGTATTTTTAAAGTAAAAAAAAAGCATGATATGTTTGAAAAATTGGAGTAACATTTTCACCTAAAAGTCTTATTCATAACTATAAAATAATATAATATATTGTAAGAATTCAGTTTCAAAAACTGAAATATAAATCTTTTATATGAAATTCAAAATCTAATAATTAAAGACTCTCCTTGATCTATGTTCTGATATAAGTGGATGAATACCAAATTGAAAGCAAATTGGGGAAATATATGAATCAAAATCTAAGTACGAAAACTGTTTGTATTCACAATTTTCTTTTCAAAATATATTTGTAAATGTATGATAAAAAATGAAACCAAAGACAAGCAATCATATATAATCTTTGTGAACAGGTTGGTTGAGAAATGATTCGCATGAATAAAAAAATATATCCTGAGAACTTTGATCGCAAAAATGTTCAGCCTATAATTTCCCAATGAATTTTGACTCGTGGAAGCTCTCAGCAGCAATGAAAGACTGGACAGTGCGTATCGGAATAACAAGGTATTAAAGGCTCTAGAAGTAGACTTCTTAATCGATGCTTCTGCAACACTATCTCAAATATTTATTTCTTAAGGGTGGGTTTTACCAGTAAGTTACAACGATGACCATAATATTCCTTTTACTTATCTACAATGTTCAACTATTTCGAGAACAATTCCTTTCAGAAGAAACCCAGTTTCAGTGAAAGTAGATGAAAAGCTTTCTATTTCCCAGAAGATATTTATTTTAAAAAATACAATAATAATCCAGCTAAGGCATTGATAAGGGTTTGTACGACATTTATCTATAATTTTAAAAGATATCCATCAAATCCCGAAAATTCGTTTGGTCAATTTCGAACTTTTGAAGGAAGTATCCTCGTTTAACAGATTTAGCTTTTTTTTTTCTTTTTTTTTTAAATCAGTACTTAATTTGTTTGAGCAGCTTTACTTTTTCTACCTCGTATATTGAGAAGATGGTATTTTCTTTCACTGTTTCTTTACTTTTTTGATATTATCTACTTGGATGCATCGTCCAAGACAGATAAATGCTTAATTTTTACTGTTCCAATAAAATTGCCTTACAAGCAAAACCAGCTATAATCTTTTCTCCATTTAATGTTTTACAGATATTTCCATATTTCGCGAAAAAAAATGCTATATTTTGCAAAAAACAATCTATATTTTTCAGAAGTATATTTTATTCTCCTAAAAATGATTTATAATGCATAATTCCGATTCGTGTTGCGAGAACGAATACATGTAGTCTGGGCGAAATTATATAAAACACTCGATTTCAGGTTTTGAAATTGTAACTATTACATTTTGTTTTGTTGGGGAGAGTTATCTCGTTTTTATTATAAATTTTCCTCTAGTGTGTCCTTCAAAATCGTCTTGCTCTTAGCCATGCTGGAATGCTAATTCAAACTGAAATGGGTGAAGATTTATTTCAGTACGTGTCACGATTGATATCCTTCGAATGGTACAGAACTACTCTATGGTGATGACGTCTATCAAAGATTCTCCTGAGACGTTGTATCTTTCTGCACTGGTGGATACATGGATTCAGGGAACTTGACGAGAATTTTCGTGGGATCTCTCCTATTTGACCATTACATATACCATATAGAGTATATGCGAGAAACGGAATATACATAAATATATATATATATATATATATATATATATATATATATATATATATATATATATATATATATATATGTGATGGCTACATTGTGGTCTAAAATACGCAAAATTTAAAATCACACCGACAAATCATTTTAACAGATTAATTATCTAAAATTGCACAAAATATCTTCAAACAGAAAAGAGTAGATTTATTCAATAACATTGCCATTGATTCCAATCATGGCCTCCACACAACTTCGAAATCTCCTGCAACTCTTCTGGACCGTCTCCTTTTGTAAGTTGGTGAATCCTGCCATGAGCCTTGCCTTCAATTCATATTTGGTGTTACAAGGCGTTTTACCCAACCGCGTTCCACACATAACAATCAAGGGTGTTGCAGTCTTGAGTGTTAGGTGTCCAAATTTAAAAGGTGATATAGTCGCAGAAATTTTCTGACAGCCATGGCTGGATTCTCCTGCTTAAGTGACATGATGCAAAGTCCAGTAGAGAGACATATTGCTTCCAGCATCCACCCTCTTGGCGCAGGGCAGCACTACCGACTGAAGCCACTTTAGTCAGTCTTCTCTGTTGTGCCTGCGGCCCTGTTGAAAGATGAGTGAAGGTATAACGTCGCTGTCACGTGAACGCTGCGAACTCCTTCGTATTCACCAGTAGACTCAGGTAACTCTTTCCGAATACTCTGCACTGTCCTCAGATTGACACCCATATACTCTGAAATGTACGTATTGGAACATTTGGCGCAAATGCCAAGAAGTACGACCTGCCGTTTCCAAATTATTGGCGGAGGCATTCGAGTCATGATGCTCTTTTTCTCACAAACGGTGCCCAACTGACCCTACTATATTCTGCAATCGAGAAAACCAAAAACAAACACACAGTGTGGCTAGAGATCCGACTGATTCAAGCCGGGATCAAAACCGATTTGGCATCAGTCAGCGACTCTAACCCTATGGTATTGGCGTACTACGGAGAAAGGGAATTTTAACGTAATATATATGTGATGCATATAAACGACAAATCCAGCAGCCAAAGCGCTCAATTCATAACTGAAGAGGCATGTATTAATAGCAGCAGCATCCATTGTTAAAAATTCACCATAGTATTCAATCGGCGAACGAGAGCATAGTCATCCATATACACGCGTGTTTCGTTATATCACCACTTATCGGTGTGGCTAGACATCCGATTGCTTTAAGCCGGGATCGAAATTCGACAGATTTGCTATCAGTCAGAGACTCTACTCCTAAGCTATCGGTGCACGGCAGAGAAAGGATCTTTTTTAACATATTATATACGTGATGTATATGAACGCCAAATCCAAAGACGATGTATTACTGATTAGTAAGTTAAATCCTAATGGTTGCCTATACTGGAAGCCTTGTATTAAACTATAGTCTTATTAAGTAAATTTCAAATTTAAATAATGTTCTCTGTATGAAAATAGTTTAAAATTGTTTATTTTAAAATCGTTCTACGTCTTTTATCCCAAAAGTTCCCCGACATTTTGAATATCTAAAGAAAGAGTTATGCCGACTTGATATTAGTTGACAATCCTGAGGGATCCTTACTCCTTAATCTTGAGCAGAACCCCTACATGATGTTATCCATTTAGCAATGAGACCCCATTGGTTTAGTGTGTTGCAGTAGCTATCAAGATGATATGCATAACGGTTTGCTTCAATCATAATAAATTGTACGCGGAATTCATTCGAGAGATTAAGAACGCTTCCGAGAATTAATTATTAAGCTAAAGTGAGATGAAGGATTATAAGCGATGCTACTAACC